GTCCCTGAAGACTGGAGGACAGCAAATGTTGCGCCATTATTCAAGAAGGGCTGCAAAGAAAAACCTGGGAATTATAGACCAGGAGGCTTAACATCTGTGGCAGGTACATTACTGGAGAAAATTCTGAGGGATTAGATACACATGCATTTGGAACAACAGGGTTTGATTAGTCAGCATGGCTTTGTGCATGGGAGATCATGCCTCACGAATTTGTTAGAGTCGTTTGATAAAGTGGCCAGGATGGTTGACGAGTGCAGGGCGGTAGACATAGTCTACATAGATTTCAGTAAGGCCTTTGATAAGATTCCATGTGGTAGGCTGCTCTGGAAGGTTAGATCGTATGTTATCCAGGGAGAGCTGGCAAATTGGATACACAATTGGCTTGATGGTAGATAGCAGAGAGTAATAGTGGAAGGAGGCTTGTTGGACTTGAAGCCTCTGATTAGTGGTGTGCCTCAGGGGTTGGTGCTGGGCCCATTGCTGTTTGTTATCTATATCAATGATTTGGATGAATTTGTATTCGGCATGATTAGCAAGTTTGCAGATGACACTAAAATAGGCGTTATGGTGGACAGTGAGGAAGGCTATCAGAAATTGCAGCAGGATCTGGATCAGCTGGGGAAGTGGGTCGAGAAATAGCAAATGGAGTTTAATATAGATAATTGTGAGGTGTTGTATTTTGGAAAGTCAAATCAAGGTAGGAGTTTCATGGTGAATGGTAGGGCCTTAAGGAATGTAGTGGAACAGAGGGACCTTGGAATTCAGATGTGCGGTTCTCTGAAAGTGGAGTCACAGGTAGACAGGGCAGTGAAGGCAACTTTTGATACACTGCCCTTCATCAGTCAGGGCATTGAGTACAGGAGGTGGGAAGTTATGTTGCAGTTGTACGGACATAGGTGAGGCAGTTCTTGGAGTATTATGTTCAGTTTTGGTCACCTTGCTGTAGAAAGAACATTATCAACCTGGAAGGAATGCAGAAAAAAAACTTACAAGGACGTTGCCAGGATTTGAGGGAAAGATATAGGGAGAGGTTGGACAAGCTAGGACTTTCTTCTTTAGAGCGTAGGAGACTGATGGGGGAAGCATCACAAAGAAGTGTATAAGATCATGAGAGGCACGGATAGCGTGAATGTCCTCAGCCTTTTTCCTAGGGTTGAGGAATCGAGGACTAGAGGGCATCAGTTTAAAGTCAAAGGTAAAAGAATACAAGGGAACCTGAGACGCAACTTTTTTTTTAAACACAGAGGATGGTACACATATGGAATGAGCTGCCAGCGGAAGTGGTTAAGGAGGGCACATGAACAATATTTAAAAGGCATTTGGGCAAATACATGAATAGGAAAGGTTTACAAGGATATGGGCCAAGTGCAGGGAAACGGGGTTAGCATGGATGGACATTTTGGTCGGCATGAACCAGTAATGGCTGAAGGGCCTGTCCCTGTGTTGTAGGATTCTATGACTCTAGGTTCAAACAAAGTTGTCAAAAAGATGGGTATGAGTGTCGGCAGATCTTTCTTACGACTCTGAGCTAGGAGGTCTCACCTGTAAACAGAATGAAAAGCTTACTGAAGGGAATCAAACACGGCTGGATGATGGATAACCAATGAGTAAATACCTGGTAAATTGAATAAAATGTGAGACAATGTAAAATTGCCAATTTTTGTTGGAAGAATTAAAGAAAGCTTCTTATCTAAATGGTGAACGATTTGAGAGCTCTGAGACGCAAAGGGATCTGGATGTCTTAATCTCCAAAGTAATTAGGAAATCTAATGGAAAGTTAACATTTATTGCAAAGAAAAGTGAATACAAAAGTAGGGAAGTTATGCTACAGGGCACTACTGAGAACATAGAGTCATACAGCATGGAAACAGACCCTTTGGTCCGACCAGTCCATGCTGACCATAACTGAAAGCTAAAATAGTCCCACCTGCCCGCGCTTGGCCCATAGCACTCCAAATATTTCTTATTTTTATACCTATCTAATATCCAGAATACTCTGTACAGTATTGGTCTCCTTATCTATGGAAGGATATAAAAAGGGTTGGACCAAATTCAGAGAAGGTTTACAAGACTAAAACCTGGACAGAGGTTGGTGATGTTTTCTTATGAAGAATGTTTGTACAGGCTAGTAATTGACATTTAAAAAAAGAGTGAAAGGTGATGATTGAAACATAAGAACCGGAGGCATCTTTATAGGATGGATGTGAAAATTGTGTTCCCTAGTGAGAAAATCTAGAACTAATAGGCATGGCTTAAAATAAGGGGATTGCCCACTTAAAACAGAGATGAGGGGAAATATTTTCTCACCAAGGGACAAGATTCTTTAAAATTCCCTTGCTAAAAAAAGGTCATGGAAACAGAGTCCTTGAATATTTTTAAGGTTGAGCCAAATAGATTCTTATTAAGCAAGAGGGTGAAAGTTATCAGGATGGGTAGTATTGTGGATAGCCATGGTCTTATTGAATAGCAGAGCAGGAGCAGGCTTGAGGGACGAAAGAGTTTGTATTCCTAATTCATATGGTCAGTTGTAATTACTTTCGACTTCAGTAGCTCAGTAACTAGCCTGAATAATCATTCTTAATGGGCTTATTGTGTAAGCCCCCAGTTATTGCGCTGTGGAACATTACAGCAAGGAACCTTCTCTTATTCTCACATTTATATCATCCAGCTCGAGTTATTAGTTAACAATTAAGTCAAATCACTCTACATGAAGCCTAATATAGCCAGACACAAGGAACCAAATCCATCTGGACCATCCTCGTTTGAACAGCTCAGCACCACACTACCTACACAACACTGTCCTTAACTCATGAGCAAATGCCTGTCACAATTTCTTTTCAAAAGGAAAAAGAAAGCGAAACTAATGCTGTGTAGCTGAAAAAAAAACTCCTAAACCTCCGCTTTACAGTAATTTTAAAAATATTGGAGCGGGGTGTGCTGAGGGGAGGAGGAGGTAGTGATGTGGTGATATGGAGGTAATGGATAGTATTTTAATATATCAATAACTTCACACCTTGATGTGGATCAAAATGAATATTCTCTTTACACACGGAACAGTTTGGTTGGGGGTAAAAAAAGACACTGGACAGTGGCAAACTTTAGTTGCTTGTGCGCCTTGTCCAATTTTCTCTCTCCATAGTCAGTTATAAAACCAATAGATTGATAGTATATATTTTAACTGGTATACAGAAAGGCCACACTGAGCAAGACAATTTCAGCTTCCATTCGCTCAGCTGGCAAACATTTACTGCATCTTCCTTCCATCATTATGCTTGCAAAATTCTGAAGAGATTGCTTTTGCTCCTGGTTGATAATTATGCACATGCTAAGAACCATAACGATTAAAAAGAGAGAGGCTAACATTACAGTTCACATCAGCTGAATACTGCCATGACGTGGCTAGCTACGTGATTGTCTCCACGATTTCCTACACTGGTAACTCCTGATTACAACTGCATTGCTGCAGGCACAATTGTGTTTCTACCTCCGCCCCAGGGCAGGAAGGGGAAGGCAGGAACAGCACATCTTAACAGCCAATTCATTGATGCATTTGTCTCTGTTCAGCTATTGTTAAAAAAGACTGGGTTTATAAAGAGGGACATAGAAAAGCACTGCTGTTCTGTCTTGCACTTTTTTTTAAGTTTATGCCAATGTAAAGCAAAGGTTTCAATTATAGTTGCAGAAAAGTATTCAGTCATTTTAATTAGGAAATGACTGTTTAAAGCAGATTTCCTTGACATCTTGTATTTCTACTATACTCCCAGTTGCAGAACACAATGGTAACAAATTAACTCTTTGCCTTCCCAGACTACCCAACATCCATTTGAACTGGGCTTTTTTCAAATAGCAGGCAAAATAAATCATGTTGAAAATGTTCAATCATTGGAGGTAACTGTGACTACCAGTCTCTCCAACTATTCAATTACAAATCAAATCCCATTCATAAGATTTCAAATGTGTTTTAGTTGTCTGGGAAGAAGAGAAATGTGCATTGAGTTGAAGGAGCAGCAATGGCAACATTCAGGGTAGATTGTTACAGGCCAGAACATCCTAACCGCCAAGTCAAGGAAACAAACTGTATTGTTAAGGGTGCTACAAGGATCCTCAAGTATTCAAATTAAACAGCTATTAAAAAAAGGTGGGGTGGGAAATGGTGCATTAGTACACAGCTTGCATTCACAAACAGAATAACACCCATAATTCCTGGACAAAGGCACTGTGTCATTGAACACAAAAAGCAGATGCATACACATCTGTCTCATTCTTAAGCTGTTGATCACACTTATGTTGGTCTCAGTGTCTTTCCTGCATAAAAGGTACACACAGGTACAACCACCTTCTCTGAAAACAACCTCGTTGTGGACTGTTTCATTTATAATGCAATCAGTTTATGATTTAGTGTCAAAATTACAGTGCATAAATTTTATACACTCACCTAGCTTATGTCTTCCACATGCAATTTGCTTTTTGTTTTGCAACGTTAAAACGGGATATACTCAATTATGTTTACAAAATCAGATTTGCTTTTAATTCTGTGACAATGGCAATCTGTATCCTACCTTCTTAGTGACGATGATGATCTTGTTTGCAATTCAAACTAGCTAATGTCTGAAATGACTCCCTGTAGGGCAGGAGTCTGCTTCTTCTATTTGCCCACCAACAGGCATGTGACTCAGCTACACAATAGGGCAAGCACCTTCTGTTAAAAAGAAGCTAGGCCACTATAATTGATTAGTGAGGATCAGAACACAGTGAACCTAAAGTCAATTCTCACTTCTTAAGGAATATACCTAAAATACAGCAGCTCACACTTTAAACAGAACCACTGCTAAACAGGATGGTAGTAACATGTGACCAAGGGAAGCAAAAAGTAAAAACTACCTTTGCAACTGCTGAAAGTCCTTGGTTTACTAGTTTTTTCAAACAACAAGATGATCAAAGTACATACAAATAATCTATAACACTTTAAAAGTACATTAAAGAAATTGCTTGGTACTTACCTCTGTGGTTGCATTGTACTGTAACACAGAGTTAAGTCAATACTTAAAAAAACATGGTGGACAGTAACTCAGTACTCAGAGAAGGGCTTGAAACATAAGCTTGATGATCTGTCAGTCTCTAAAGTACCTATACTGCAATTGGACAATTTAATTTACCACCATATAAAGCTGAAGCTGATTGGCTAGAACACTTCCTGAATGGTTACTTGTGCAGAGCATTTGCAGACAGAAGCCATTCTGTGAAAAGAATTTGAATTCAAAGCTTGGCTCAGTTTCAGCAGCAGAGAGGAAAGATATCAATAAAACTAAATATCAAACTATTGCTCAATTCTAAACACTGGGATAATTACTGAATAGCCTACCTTGTTGCACTAGCAGCACATTTTCAACAAATTTCCTTGCTGTTGTCCTTTTCCCTGAATGTAAAATGACAGCCACTGCACTCATCTCAAATAAAACCGTCTCCCTGTGTTTGTCTAATATTGGGGTTCCACAAGAGTTAAACATGAAAAAAAGCCCATCATGTTCAGTTATATGACTAAATTTTAAAAATAGGCTTCAAACAAAACTACAACTTATTCACAATGTACAACAATGTAAATTTATTTTGCTCCTGAACATATAAAAGCCACCTAGAACTGCTTCACTGAAGCTGAGCCAAAGGTGGAAATAAAAATACCCAAAAGCTGTATTGAATATATGGAGGCCTTAAAAAGGAAAAGGCCAGAAAGATGGGGCAGTAAGGGTCATAATTCAGGAATGCAGGTGCTGAAAACTCCTACAGTGGGAGAAAAGGTGGGCGATATACAAGAAACCAGGGTCAAAAAAAAACATAATTCAGGAACTTTTAGTAATAGGGAGTAAATGAGACTAGCAGGGATTTAAGTATGAAATATTTTTCAGTTAAGGTGTTGTACATTAAAAAGCCAATATGGATTCATGGGAACAGAGGTGATCCATAAAGCAGGACTGGACAAAGTATTGAGAAAGGATTATGCAATTGCAAAATGGCATTATGTTATTGCAGCTGGTGCCTTTTAGTGCAGCTAAAATAAAAATAGTTTCAAATGCACCAAAGACTTACATAAATTGTATATAATTTACAGCAGCAGGCCAAGACAGAGAAAGATATTAAGAAACCAGTAATACAGAAGTGAACATACTGGTCAGACTGGTGCACTGTTCTGAAGTATACAAAACATTATGCGTCATTCACAAGTGTTACTGTTTTTCCCCGTTCACTCCACCTGAACCTCCTCTCACTACTTCTGATTACATTAGCAACATATTTCTTTCTACCTCATGTTTATCTATAGCTTTCTGGGAATACATCTATATTATTTGCACAATGGCAGGAGTCTCACAGAGCGGCAGTTGAAGGTGAAGGGTTATGTGTTGACAGAATATATTTAGTGAGAGTTGACAATTATTTTATATATCTTTGGAAAGGTAACAGACCAGCTGTCAGCATCAAAATGTTGTGACAACACCCTTGGAAATGATAAGGGGACAATGGAGAGATGGGAAGGGTAGGACACAGGTCAGCTGCATGCAATGCTCTGTGATTAGTGTTTATAGCAAGAACAACAAAACTTCGGAAATTTTCTTTCCCTGGCCCAGATTATATTTGACATAAAGGGAAAAGACAAATACCAGGACATTAAAACTATTTTTAGAAAATTTTTAATGAAAAACAGGACTCATCTGGTGACATCAGAGTACCTCATCACCTTATCTAAACCTCACCATGTGATTCAAGTTCCAGGTTCCTTACCTATGTCTGAATTTAGAAATTACGTTGGAGTTCCTTATTCAATTTATTCATAACGATCTTAGATTTAGGGCTCTCAATTTTTATTTTCCTCCAAGTGGCAATATTTTCTCCACATTATAATTCCTATCAAAACTGATAATTTCCCAAAAGATACTCAATTTTCCAGTAACTGACTAGAAGGATCAAAAATTTCAAGTTTTACAAGATTTGAAGTTTTAACACATTTATTTTAACAAACAAAGTGAAAACAACAATTCCTATACTGTACTTCTGTTACCAATTCAACTGTAGACCACATAAAAGTTTCTCCTATTGAACTTTAAAAATGACTAAACTTTTCCAGTCATGATCATACTTTACTCTGACTCTTAAGTGGCGAATTCATGATCCAGGAACCGGTGCCCAAGCTTTTGTCCAGTCCTAATGGCTTGCTTCCTTTTTCCCTTTCCAGCTGGATAACATCTAATCGGAGTTACGGTGAGTATCTCAAACCATTACAGGCCACTCACGAGTAACCTGTGTTGCTAGGAGCTGCTAGCCAATCAGAACTGGCAGCTTCTGGATCCGAAAGTTGAGGCCTACTCAGGGAATCCAACAGTAAGAAATTTTTTTTCTTTTTGAAGGTAGCAATTCACAAGGTGGGATGGGGGGGAGGTTTAAAAGGCCACCCTTTTGTCCCCTCATCTATACCTCCAATTGTGCTAAATAGGAGTAATGGAGGTCCTTTTCATCTGCCAAGCAGTCACTATAGTTTCCCACCAGGAGGCAGGTGATTGGGGAAGGCTATGGGTTGAGGCCTGTAAGTAGCCATTAATTGACCACATAAAAGGCCTAAATTGTTGACAAGTCGAGAAGGTCTTCTTAATTGCTGAGGTTCTAAAAGGGGGAGTGAGTTTCTCTCTGAGCAAACTCAGGTCATTATACCCCCTGCTCACCTGCCACCTCTCGGGATGGGAAAATCATGCCTACAGAGAATGATCAATGACTGGTATAAATTGCCTTAGATACTTACTGAGGTCAAAACATAGTCCAGTTAAGAAATAGCAGGGTGCTGTAACGGGAAGATGGTTGACTTACGATGTTAAAATAATGAGGGTGAAAGCCACAACACAGATTCAGTTAGATCAAATGACCCATCTGTGAGCAGTAAATTCTGTATAAAAGTAAAACATTCTTTTAATCCCAATCTTTCAGAGAAACGTAAGTGGACAATTCAGCTGTTTTAAGTCTAGCACATTCAATTACATCATGGCCAATTTAAACCCATGCCTTATCGACATAGGCATTAATAATCTTACCAAGCAAAATTTACAGCCATTAGGATGGTGAAAAAAGTGTCAGTGTTCCACTTCATCTGTGGGGAAAAAAAATGTTTCCTGATTTAACACTTAAAACTACTTCCTATAGTTTTCTGGATGCACTCATCAAAGGAAATAGTTTTTCTATATTTATCCTGTTGAATACATTTACCATTTTAATCACGCATTTCGATTACACTTCAGGCTTCTAATCTGAAAAGAATACCAGCAAAGTTTATATAATCTTTCCATATGAGTTAAATCTTCGAATCCTGGTATCATTCTGATGCATCAGCACTGTAGCAGTTCCAAGGTCAGTATATCTCTCCTAGGTTTGTTGCCCAGCGCTGAACACAATATTCCAGATCGAGTCAGTACAACTCACTCATTTCTGAATTCCAAACTCTCTTGAGACATAACTCAACCTGTCCCTAACTTAGTGTCGTCTGCAAATTTGAATGTACATATTTTGTTCCTTTATCCAAGGTTTATAAATGTAAATTGTGAAAAGCTGAAGTCACAGCACAAACCAACAGAGAATACCACCTATCACATTCCATTGTTTAGGACTCAAAACATTTATCACCACTGTCTCTGTTACCTGTAACATACCAATACATTCAGAACTTCAAAGTCAAAAATCACACGACACCAGGTGAAAGTCCAACAGGTTTATTTGAACACACTAGCTTTCAGAGTGTTGCTCCTTCCTCGGGTGTAGTGAGGGAGGAGGTATCAAGACACGGAATTGATAAGTAAAAGATCAAAGGATTATACAACTGATGCGAATATATTGAATAAACCTAAAATGGCTGGCTGACTCCCCCCTGTTAAATCTTTAATCAGTTAGAAAGATGATGCAGGTTTTGATTGATTAAAATGCAAATCCCAGAATTTCTTTCAAGTCACTGCTCTATGATAACTAAAGATTTTAAAAGTGTACACAAGAGGTGACATCTCAGGTCAGGTAATGCATTTTAGGGGTGAGGCCTTGTTTAGAATCTGTCTGTGTTTTAAGCTGGAGTCACACTGGTTTTATTTGCAAAGCAGGAATTTATAAAATGCCCCATTGACTGACTGTGTCTACAAATTGTGCGTTTTTTGAACAAAATAGAATGTATCTGCAAATACAGATCTGCAAATGCAAACTCACCCTACAAATTTATATGTATGTGTGTGCGTCTGTGTGTGTGAGGGACAGAGTGAGTGTGTGTGTGTATGTGTGTGTCTGTGCTTGAGAGAGTGTGTGTGAGTGTGCGGGAGTATATGTGTGTGAGAGATTATGCTTGTGAGTGTGTGTATGAGAGAGACAAAGTGTGTGTGAGAGAGAGTCTGCGTGAGTGTGTTTGTGTATGAGTGTGTTTGTGTGAGAGAGTGTGTGTGTGAGAGAGTGTATAGTGTGGTGGGGCCACCTGTCATGCAACATGAACCCAAGATCACGGTTGAGGCCGTCCTCAAGGGTACCAAACTTGGCTATCAGCCTCTGCTCAGCGACTCTGTGTTGTTGTGTATCCAAAGATCCAAGGCTGAATGCCCTTGGCCGCTGAAGTGTTCCCCCACTGGGAGGGAGCACCCCTGTCTGGTGATTGTTGCGCAGTGTCCATTCATCTGTTGTTGTAGTGTCTGCAGAAATTTAAACTAAGTTTCTGAGATAGCAAGAACTGCAGATGCTGGAGTCAGAGATAATAAAGTGTGAAGCTGGAGGAACACAGCAGGCAGCATCAGAGGAGCAGGAAAGTTGACCCGAAACGTCAGCTTTCAAGTTTCTCTGATGCTGCCTGGCCTGCTGTGTTCCTCCAGCTCCACACTTTGTTATTTCGAACTATGATTTATATTTTAAGGCTCCAAAAATGTGGCTTCCCAAGGACCATCTGACCTTTTTTGACTTTTGAAGCATTCCTTCGTTTTGAGAGGGGACTAAAGGAACTTTTGAGACTGATACTGACATAATGCCTTTATCTAAAGAAAATTTCAAAAAGGCAATTTCAAATTTCAGGTACAAAGACACCATCTCATAATCTGAAGGTGCAAATG